CACTCAGGGCCACGACTGCATTACCCAGTCAGTCAGCCGCCGAGGTCCCACTGGTTTTCCCACCACACTTCATCGGCCGTTCGTCCAGTTTATCCCACAACACTCCTATGCATGAATAGGTTCGGGTGGAAACAATGACAAATCTCTGATACACCGCTAAACTCAGTACCACGAGCTACATTGAAAACAAATGAAAATGCAGATGTCTGCCAAGAAGAATATGTTCGCCATATGCAATCTATGCCTTAATCCATCGAGCTCTCCGTTGGGCGGGGCGTGGCCCATGAAGTCGCCCCGGGTATTCCGCCCATGCAACCAAACACTGACACAAAACGTTGCACGTCTGGGCCCATGTAAACCACGACACTTCCATGTGGATTGGCTACCCGCACTCCCCATGTCAGGGGTCCTCCCTCCTGCTGTTGACTCCCAGATTGCCTACGCACAAACGCCAAACGTTGGCGCAGAAAACAGACAGGCCACTGCAGTATGGCATCAAACCACGCATAACCCACAGCGGCTTTCAGCAGCAGTACTGCTTGGTGAATGCGACCAGCCATGTACTCCGTTGCGCATCTCTGGAAAAACAGGCTCTGATAGCTTGCACCACCGTGCACCCCAAAAGGCGGGTTGACAAACACATTGCCCATCCACGCGTTGCACTCCAACAGACCATCGGATTCCATATCATAATACGCTGTCGCCCCAACACGTGTGTTAGCAGCCGCGGACGAGCATGAGTCCAGGTTGATCCCGCCAGGAGTGAACACCTCGTGCACCAGCTCTATGATACTCAGTGGGGTGAACCACTCCGGACTCTCACTGGAGAGAAACAGGCGCACATTCCCACCCCCTCCACTTCGAACCATATGGACTCCCTCACCAGACTCGCTATCGCTGACATCCATGTCGCTGCTGCTGTTGTCACTGCCAGTACCCCGCAGCAAACGGCTCCTGCCTGTGACCTCCAATGCACATTGCTCAACGAGCCGCCCACCCAGGAGTCGTGACTCGGCTACAGAGCGTGCCACAGCAAGGCGCCATGCCCCTAGCGCATCGCAAGGTGGCAGAGCTGTAAGTGGACGGACCTGGCGCCCACTGTTAGGCACAACGTCTGTGGCAGAAAGCAACCGCAAAAAACGAGCAGCCGCTACCAAAGCCTGTGCATATCTCGGTGCAATATCAATTCTACCCGATTCAGACACATACTGCACGAACGACCCGAATCCCAGGCAACTATACAGGCGCCTCTCTTGAATATCCAGCAACGAGTTGGCCATCTGTCGAAACTGTGAACCACAACCCTGGACAAGCTGCTCTGCCCTTAAGAGACGTGCCATCTCTGCTGACCTGTACATAGGTACACACCAATTGGGTCAGCACAAACCATATGTCACACGAGTGAAGCTCAGCTTGTCACGCAACTCACTGGAATCCAAAGTCATAGTCGTCACATTGCTCGCACGTGTAGCACTTCCCTCCACCCTCTGTCAGCTGTGGCCTCGCAAAGGACCCACACGCACAGCACCTAACGATGCTATGTCTGCTCTGACATCGCCTGCACTTCCACGACACCACGGGCCCCTGGCCACCCGTGGTGTCAATCTCGCCCAAGTCCCACACACCACCTGATGGCATGCGTCCCCGGGCGGCATCATCCTGCCGCTGCTGCAGCTGGGTCGGCAGTGCACGAGAGAGGAGGGTCCCCGTGGCGGCAGGCCTGTGATGCCAGCGCCACCGATGCGATGTCCAACGTTGGGATTGGCGGCTCGCTGCCCTTGGATGTGGCCCGTACACGGGCCCACGTCAGGGCTGGCGATGCGCTGTGCCTCCGTGGGATCGGCACCCATGGGCACCCTGTGCGCACTCCAGGTGCCGGAGTGGGTGAAGTGCACGGTGAGACGTGGCGCCCACTGTCTAACGAACGAGGCAGCTTTTCACTCTTCCCTTTCTGCTACCTCTACGGAGGAGGAAGCAGTCAACCACCTTCGCTGCCTCGAAGGCTCCAAGCTTCGAGGTTCCAGGTTGTGGTTCTCAACACACCAACGCAGAGTAAAAGAAGCTGTTAGTCGCCACCGGAGGCAGCAGCGGCTCAGAGTTACAGTACCGTGCTTTGAATTACGTGGAAACCGCCGCAATTTCCCCCATCCCATCGGAACGGCCACGAATGGATTTCGCCCCCAAGCACAAGGATGCCCACCCCTCTTTCCTCCCTCACGCACGCTCTATCTAAATTCGCTCTACCATGCTTTTCATACGCTCTCTGCAAGCCCCCCTCAGTCTACCCCGGTAGCCGCAACCCCTCCTCACCCTCATACACTAGTTGCTGTTACCGCCGCCGCTTGCCGCGGTAGCACCAACCCAGTTGGTTGGAGGGTTGGATTGGAGGGCCACAATCCCCGCTCCTTCGCTACAGGCATGGGATGTGGACCGCAGCCAGCTCTGCATGACCCGCGGGTCGTTTGACACGATACGGCCCACACCCGCGTGCGCAGCCCGCGTCGCGTCCTCCTTCGAGTCCACCACCCACGTCACCACGGGCCGTCTAGCCGTCGCCTTCGTCGCTGCCGCCGCCACCTCCGCCAGCGCGGCATCCGGGTGCTTGATGCTCGGCCCAAAGATGTCGTACGCATCGGCATCGTTATCCTGCAGCTCCAGCTGTACTGCCACCCGGGTGCCGTTGGCTAGGCGCCTAGCAGTCAGGTGGAAAACGACACAGATAGGGATGGTTGAATGCGGGGGGATGTATGAAATTGGACGTGGTTGGATTTGCATCGTCGATCCACACGCGCGGCGGGTGCAGGTGCGCGGCAGGACGTGTTGAGTGACAAATGAGGGCAGGCAGGGGGGGTTCAAGGGTAGACGGTCGGAGATAAATGCGCCCAAATACCGATGCAGAAGATAAGGCAGGGAAGTTACTGCTCGGACACACAGTCTCACCTACCCGGCTTGCCAACTAGTGCTTTGCCGACCCACATAGATACACATGCGGACATAGCTCGCTGAGGTAAAGTTAGTCGTGTACCACCGTGACATCGGCATTGCCCTCGCGGCGGCTCCGGAGATAATTAAACACACAGACAGATGCAGAGGTACACACATGGGTACACACAACCCCCTGAGTCCCAAGCACACGCCCAGCCCTGACCCCATCTGCAGCTGTCCCACCGGGTATCTGGAAGACCCAGTACTCGCAGCAGCCCCGAGCCCAGCAGCTGTAGGTGCTTCCCCACGGCCTCCACCTCAACATAGCTTTGATCGCCAGCTGCTGTTGCTGCTCCTCCTGCTGCTGCTGTTGATCCCTCCTGCCGTCCCACTGAAGAGGAAGAGGACAGCGATAAGGGCTCCAGCCTCGGAAGCCACAGACCCACATGTCCCTGAATACCAAGTGCGCGGGTGAGGTTGTGCAGCAGCTCCGCAAAATCGGGCCTTAATGCGGAGTCCTTGAGCTCCAGCAGCAGCAGCGGAGTCCCATCGCTACTGCTACTGCCACGATCATTGTCATCGCGATCACTATCTTTATTGACGGAGTCTGAGCCGCTGCCGCCGCCGCTGCCGCTGCCGCCGCCGCTGGCGTCTTGGCCGCCACTGCTGCTGCGACTACTGCTCCTGGTGTCCTGACCCTCGGCGGCCTGTCCACCGCCTTTATCCTGCAGCACCAGCAGCCTCCGGCTCTGGCCTGATTCCTGCTGTTGTTCCTGCTGCTGCTTCCCTTCCGCCGACTTGGAACGCGCCCTGTCCTCCTTCCCCTCCTGCTGCAGCTGTTGCTCCTGCTGTTGCTGCCCCGAAGCGCCCTCCATCCCGCCTTCCTTCCCCTCCTCCTGCTGTTGTCCCTGCTTTCCCGCCTCGGTCTCTCCCGCAACACCTCCTCCCACACCATCCCCCTGCCCTCCTACTCCAGCGCCCGCTCCGCCCTCAGGTCCCTCCTCCTTCGCCGCGGCCCCCTGCTGTTCCTCCTCTTCCCGCTTCCTCTTCCTCTTCTTCGCGTCTTCCGACACCATCTCCGCAAAGACCCTCAGCACGTCCTGCAGCAGCGGGTGACGCTGATCCAGACCCGCTGCCACGTACTCGCTCCAGGAAACGGAGTCCACCTGAAATGGCTGGCCTTGCGCGGCCGCCGCCGCGGCGGCGGCAGCAGCAGCGCCTCGGCCTGCGGCCCGGAGCTCGGTGATGATGTGGTTGGGGTAGCCGACTACGAGCTGCCCGTCGGCAGTGGCGGCGACGTCGACGTCGTAACAGGTGATGCCGCTGGCTGCTAGGCGGGAGAGCCGCTCCAGAAAGGGCGCGTCAATGCCCTTGTCGCTGGAGCCCAGTGAGGCTCGGTGGCTACATACCTGCGTGTGTGGATTGCGTCATGGAAAGGGGTTTTGGGGGGACGGCATTCAGTCGGGGGGAGTATGGCATCCAGGTGTACCATATGGGGCTGCATTCAGGATCGCTTTTTCCTGGACAGCTGAACGACCAGCGCACAAGGGGAGTGGAAAAAAGCAAGGTCCCTGGTACCGCGTCACGTGCGGTGAAGCACGTTTGCGCCTGGCATACTCTTCAAACAAGGGTCCTCCCGTTGATGCCTAAACAACAGGAATACATTCCACCGTACCTGGATTTGCGACAGCGCGTGGCAAAGCGCCTTGTCGTCAGCTGCCGGAGTGCTAACACGTTTGGACGCTGATGAAGGTTTTGGTAAGAGTGACTGATGAATGTGTTCGGCGACTAGACGACCCGCTATCGAAATACAGCAACACAAGTACAAGCATAGCAAGTACGCTGCCAATGGTAAGCTGCTGCCACCTGGACTGATGGTGGCGTGACGCCGAGTGCTGCCATCGTGTTTGTGCACCTAGGAGAGGGGGTTGCGGTCGTGCCCGAGTACAAACTTCCCGCCAGGCTTTTAGCAACATCGATAAGCAGTGGTCAGCCCATATCCGCAACGGCACAAGAGCACCATGGCCAGGCATTAGGAGTCAAGTGGAAAGTCACGAGGCGAAGCTGACAGTCTGAAATCAGGGTGGTACAGGTTATACATGGTCTCCTGTGGCGCCAGCGGCCGGGGTGGCGATGCCAGCGGCGGGGACGCCGGCGGCGTTGCCGTCGCCAATGCGGGCGGCAGTGGTGGTGGCGGCCAATACAGTGTTTCCAATGGTGGCGGAGGCGTATGCGGTGTTGTCGGACAGTGCCAGTCGCCGTGCATACGATCTGCAACGTGCTCGTGTTGCCCTCAGCAACATACGCCAGGGCGCTAATTGAGAGGAAAAGAGCTATAAAGGAAAAATGAGCGATATATAGACAAAGGAAAGGGAGGAAGAGTGGGAGAGAGAGAGATGTGTATAGATGGCGCCCAGGGGCCATCCATCTTGATCCGAGCAGTTGATGGTTGCTGTTATGGTTGCCGTATTACGGTTGCGGTTGTTTGTTGACCGAATAGCTTTTGGCGTTGGTTGCATGCGTTGCGTCTGATGCACTTGCATTGCTGGGGCTGCCAGTTTCAGTTGGCAGGTCCTCTTGCAGTTGGGAGTTGACAGTTAAAAGTTGGAGGTTTGCGCGACCAAGACGCTAGATGTGAGACATGGAAGTTGGGAGGGGCTTTCTGACCTGCATGTGTCGTTGTCGTTGTCGTTGCACCCGCCACATTCGCCATTCGCCACCAGAGCATAAATGAGGCGAGGCGGCGGAAGAGGGCCACCGCGAAGTCCCTCTCCAGGAGACAGAAACTTCGGGTCGCCACAATGGTAAGAGGTGGTAATGGTAATGGTGGAGGAGGAAGAGGAGCAGGCGGAAAAGGAAGGTCCAGGGGGCTGGGTGAGATAGTGGGGCAACAAATCTGATGTGGGTCAACTGGATCTTTGAAATTCGGAATCCAAATCTGGAGATGACTATCTGTCTGGGCTCGATGGGGACGGGTGTTCCTTCATTAATGAACTCCGTGGGCCGCCGGCAATGAGGTCAACTTACCGAGGGCTTTGCGGGTTAAGGCGAGCTAATTAAGTTATTGAACATAAGCGTAATACTATAGTATTTCGGACACGCGACACACAGAGCGACATGGAATTTTAAATAACAAGGGACAATTAAAAAGAAGAAAAAGCAGAAGGAAAAAATAAGAAGAAAAGGTCGAATTGAGAACCGGCAGAGTGTCCTGCGGATTGTTGAGTTCTGTTCTGCTCCCTGATGGCGAGGGTTGATGCTTTTCCTTTTCTGTTTTCTTCTCCTTTTCCTCCTCTACCTCCTCCACTTCCTTTTGATTTGTTGCATCACCGTTAATGATCACTTCTCCCTCAACCTTCTCCCTCAAATTTCATGTCGCATTTTCCTCCAATACTCGCCGACCAACGGAAGACCTACATGCGGTAATGGATCCTCAAGACCGAAATGCTGCTTCTGATGCTGCTGCTACTGCTGATGCTGCTGCGCTTGCGCAGTCCCTTATTCAATACTTGTTGGCGACTTGCCGAGTTCAGGGACCCTCGCATGCAATGATTCACCCATGTCCAAAATTCGTTGTGCGCGATGGATTTATGCCGCGTACAGCTGGTACAGTACTGTGAGCCACTTGATCCTGCTGAGCTGTCGGTTACACACAACAAGCCCAAACGGGAAACCAATTTTGGATCCTGTTATTCTAATCCGGATTTTTTGAGGCAGCCCACACAACCTTTGCAGCGTTGTCCCCCCTCGCCTAGTGCAATCTCAATACGCTTTAAATATCTTGAAGTTTTCAGAGGTGTTGCTCGCCTGCCTGCTTGCTTAGAAAGGAGGAATGTTCTGAGCAGGGTTCGACACTGACCTTCCTGAAACTTGCGGGCTCCCCCGTACCTCCCAAATTTTCCTTACGGAGGGGCCCCCGTACCAGGCTCCTGTACCGCCGATAACCTTAGGGGGGGCCCCGTAACCCCCGCAAAACCTTTACGGGGGCACTGTCCTTGGCCGAAACGCTGTGGAAAGTGACGCTTTGCATTTTTTTGCCCTGTAAATCGTTATTTTCGTTATTTTCTCGTGAACCATTACACTCGGGGACACGGCACACTCAGGTCCGACAATTTTAAGCTGGCGCGCTAAGGAGGGCGGTGGCTTAGGAGGCCCTTGTTCACCTCCTGACGACTCCTTGTCTGCCATCGCTGGATGTTACAGACCAGAAGTTATAAAAGTACTATGAAAAGTGTAGTTAAATATTGCAATATGAATTATGTCTGCCAAGTGTGTGGCCTTATCCTTTATATGGTCAAAGGGTACTACAACCTTGCACGGCAGTCGGCAATCGGTCCGTCCTCTCCCCCACGGGGGACTTTACGGCCCCGTACGGCCTCTTATAAATCCTTAAAATCCTTACGGAGGCCCCCGTAACCGGCCCTCGGCCGGTCCGGGGGCGGCCCCGTACGGGGGCGCTTCACGCACCAAAATCCTTACGAGAGCCACCGAAAAGTCCTACGGGCCCTTACGGGGATACCGAAAAAAGGCCAAAAACTTACGGGCCCCGTACGGGGTGTCGAACCCGCTCAGAACTTCTGAGCGATGTTATCAACTGGGCGGCGGATTAGAGAGGGGCGAGAGGGCGGCGGCCCAACATTACATCAGTCATCTTGCCCTGGAGGAGGTGGGCACATGTGCTGCAGCTCCTGGTACTGCTATTGCTACTGCTACCTCTGTAGAATACCTTTTTGACTTGCCGTTGCCGTTGCAGTGGCAATCGTATTAGTTGGTTGCGCAACAGTTGCAATAATATCTGTGTGTGTGAGGGAGTGTGTGTGTCTCTCATCAACCCGATGAAGGAGCACTGGGGAGCTGAAGTAGCTGGTACCCTGTACGGCACCTTGAACAACCACAAATACGCGTGAAGTGCTTCATCAGCATCTCGAGAGGCCTTTTCAGCGGCCAGCCACTACAATTGGTATCGAGACCTTGTACATGTTAACAATCCAGCCTGGCTTGTCCAAACAGCTACCTCGGCCCTATGCTCTGAATGTAGGCATGAACAGCATCAGCGTTTTCATCCCAACAAAATTTTTTTCGGTTCTTGGCCCGGCTCCTGGCCTTCTCCCAGTCCACCGGGCAGCCCTCGGCATGCAGCCACTGAAGGACCTTTACGGTACTGCCATGGCGCCTGCTGTACACCGCTCGGCTGAAGATGCCGGGGCCCCAGGGGCAGCCAAGCTGCCTCAGGCAATACAGAATGACCAGGTCGTGACAGTGTGCTGCCGTTATGTAAAGCTCACCATCATCCTGCAACATAGCAACGAGCGAGGCGCATGAAGCTGGTTCCCGAGAAAACAGCCGTAATAGATGGCGGCTGAAAAGGCCTCTCGAGATGCTGGAAATGTGCTCCCAGCATGTGTATGAATTGACTGCGTGCGCCAGAGTGTATGATCACCACTACATTCCGAATACATAAATGCAGACCATCAGACAGTCAAATGGAAACCTAGTGACAGGTCCTTTACCATCCCGTCCAGAGGTCAGCAGCAGAAATGATGCAGACCGGATGAAAGCCAAGAATGAGAGGTCCTTCACATTGAAATCGGCCAAGTCACCAGCATATGCCAGACAGTGCGTGGCATACATTCAGTGATGAGCAGTAGAGCTGAGCAGCACGCATCAAGAACATGCACCCGAACTCATGCAAGCAAGCCACTCACCCCCATGGGGACGCCCCGGGCCACAAGCCACTCCAATACTGCTGGACTGCCTGCCCTCACCGCTGCATTAAGAAGCTTCTCTCCACTCCAGGGCAAGTCTACCTCATTTAGCAGCCATTCCACGACCTCCACACTACCAAACGATGTTGCATAACTCAACACAGCCTGGTGCTGCTGCATGAGCTCCTGCATGTGCTTCCGAACAACACCTGCATCCATCCATTTAAGAATGTGCAGGTGACCTCCCTCAACTGCGGCCAGCACAGTCCACCCATCAAGAAGCCAGCCCAAGGTCACCAGCTCGACCAGCAGCGCCATGTTGCCGGCACGGGCTGCTGTTACCACAGCCTCCTTCGTGCGTTCTGGAAGCCAGTCCCTCCCCACTCGCAAGTAGTGTATCAGGGGCAGGTTATCAACATGCACGGCGCTGATGAAGATACATTCTACGACAGCCTCTAGCTCTACTTCCACAAGCAGCCGCTGTGTCCGCTCCACAGCATCCGGAAGGCTGGCAATGGCCTCCCATTTGATGTACTGCTTGCCATCGAGGCGGCAGCCTTGAGCCTGCAGCCACTCCACCTTGGCCCGCCAGTCGGGGGTGGGGCTCACCAGGGCCTCCGCAAGGGTGTAGCCGGTTAGCAGCCTGCTGGCATAGTTGCCACTATCACCGCCATACCTCAGGAAGGTCTGGTGTAGATCCTGCAATGCCGCCAGGTCGAAGCCATGTGAAGCTTCCTTGACAACATCGGGCATCAACGACCATAGGACTCTCGACACTGACCCATATTCTAGCTCAAATCGCTGAAGGAGCCAGTGTGTGAGGCCCACATGGCCACCACGGGCGGCACCAGGAAGACCCGTCCAGTATTTCAACGGAGTACCGTCCTCCAGGAGCCCCTCACACACAGTCTGATGACCGGCATAGGCGGCTGCCATAAATGCATGGGAACCAGCATTCTGTAGCTCTCGAAAATCACGCAACTGTTGCAGTAGCCACCGGACCGTTTCCAGATGGCCACTTCGGGCAGCTGCTGCTGCCGCATTCTCAGAAAGGAAGAAGCAGTCTTCTCCCTGCAGCCACTGGCACATCTCAATATTGCCGCCCTCGGCTGCTGCCTTGAAGACCTCCGAGGAGAGCTCGCAGCCCGCTGCCTTGACGGCGACCTGCAGGTTGGCCAGGCTGCCGCTGCGGGCCGTCAGGAGTAGAAGCTCTCGGCGTTTACTTCGTACGAAGTTGTGAACTGCCTCCGGGCGGCTCCAGTGCCTATTGAACGCGTGATGGGGTACGGGCTGCGACAGCCGGATAGCTACTTTTTCCCGAAACTGGCTCGTCATGGCCTTATTGATTTCCTTGACGGTACATACAACCTCGTTTGGATCCAGGAAGCTAACAACACGCTCGACAATGTCCGCCGTTAAATTATCCCAACTGTGACCTTCGTCAGGATTCATGTTTTCAGTCTAAAAAACAAAAAGACAAGTAGACAAGGTCGACACTTTCAACGTCTGAGATAGTGCCAAATACAGAAGTACGGAGGGCCCTATGCCAACCCCGGATACCACACCAGTACGAGACAGTCGGAGTTTGGCCATTCCAGCACAGAATGCAGAGTCATACAACAGATACAAACTAAGCTTTATTAAGACAGGTTACAGAAAATAGACGACTAGAAAGACTAGAGAAAGTCGTTGTCGCAAATCGCTTGACGAGCGATGTTAGTATTACCTCTATCTTTTGTTTTGCCTACAATAGGACGCCGTCTCTTATATATGAGAGGACAACAACAACGGCGGCGCGCGGATCGACATTGCGGGACGACGGCATCCATGCAAGTAAGTGAAGCGCGCGGGCACCGCGCGGGTGGTTGGGTTGGTTCGGCCTTGAGTAGAGGCACCTGAATAGTGGGTCCCGTTGCTTGTCGGTGGGCGGGGTGAAGTCTAGTTGGGTTCGCGAGGTCCGTAGGTTAGTAGGAAAGGTGGTTTTTATTTCGGCCTCCCGCAGTTGGCGAGGCTTTAGCTGGGAGTCCGTTTTGCCGGGAGAAGCTCTTGGTTGGCAAGAGGTTGCGAGTGGCTTGGTTGGCGTCCTTTGTCTTGAGTTCGCCGGATTTACTCTGGTATCCTCGCGAGTCGCCAGACAGCCCGGTGCAGGATACTGACCAACAGAACAGCTACCCTACGTGCGAATGCGTAAAGAACAACGAGCAAAACAGGCAGACAGGATGGCTTCAAGAAATCTGCAAGCAAACGAAGGTTGAAGTCAAGACGCGTGGACGGACCCGGAGCCTTCGGACGTGTGGACGGGCTACAGCTATATCATAAAGCCGCCGCGGCGGTCCGCTAAGTGCGGCACAGAATGCATGACAAGCGGCTGCGGAAGGCAGCGCGCTTAGGAAGCCCGCCGAGGCGGCACGCCGAACTGAAGGCGTTGTGATGTAGGAGCACTTAGACAGCGACCGCGGAAGGCGGGGCGCTTGTAGAAAAGCCGCTGCGGCGGTCCGCTAAGTGCGGCACAAAATGCGTGACAAGCGGCTGCGGAAGGCAGTGCGCTTAGGAAGCCCGCCGTGGCGGCACGCCGAACTGAAGGCGTTGATTTAGGAGCATATAGACGGTGACAGCGGAAGGAAACGCCGCTGCGGCGGTCCGATAGTGCGGCACCAATTGCATGATAAGAGGCTGCAGAAGGCAGCGCACTTAGGAAGCCCGCCGAGGCGGCACACCGAACTGAAGGCTTTGTGATTTAAGAGTGTGTAGACGGCGACCACGGAAGGCGGCCCGCTTGTAAAAAAAAAAGCTGCTGTGGCGGTCCTCGGAGTGCGGCACAAAAATGCATGACAAGCGGCTGTGGAAAGCAGCACGATTAGGAAGCCCGCCGCGGCGGCACACCGAACTGAAGGCGTTGTGACCTAGGAGGATATAGACAGCGACCACGGAAGGCGGTGCACTTGTAGAAAACTGCTGTGGTGGTCTGCAAAGTGCGGCACAAAATACATGACAAGCGGCTGTGGAAGGCAACGCGATTAGGAAGCCTGCCGCAGCGGCATGCCGAACCGAAAGTGTTTGATATGGGAACTTGTAGACAGCGACCACAGAAGGCATTGCGCTTGTAGCAAACCGCTGCGGTGGTCCACTGAGTTCGGTTCACAAGAGGCTGCAGGAGGTAGCATTCTTGAGTAACCCGCAGTGATGGCTTGCCGGATTATAGGCGTGGCGATGTAGGAGTATGTCAACAACGATCGCAGAAGGCGGCGCACTTGTATGAGCGAGTGGTTAGTCGTCCTTACCTGCAGGGCTGACGACCGACGGTGGATTGCTTCGCGGATGCCACGAATGCCAAAGTGCGGGGGAACTTCTATTCGCTTACATGGAACCCAGGGTGCACGGGTGTAGATGCACTCACGCAATTTTGGGCCCCGAGGGAGGACAACCCTAGGCCATTGTTGTACATCAACGCCCCGTTCTCTCAGGCAGGCAAGGTGCTGAACAAAGTGCGGAACGAGCGACTGGACTGCATTGTCATTCTCCCAGTGTGGCCACGGTGGTGGGTGGCCCTACTCAAGACCTTGCCGGTCGTGGAGGAGTGGGACCTGCCGCTCGTACCCCACCTATCCCGGCCAGGAGCTTTGGTACGGGCGCCGGTGGCCAGGAGTCCCCGTTACAAAGTGCGGGCGTATTACATTCTAAGGCGACCATGAAACAGCAGGGAAATCGACGGTCACGCAGAGGCACAATAAGGGCGAGAGAGGGACAGGGGCGTCCGAAGGTGAACAACACAAGACATCGGAAGGACTCCCACCGGGAGAGGGAGGAGCAATGCGGGGCCAACTTAGGTGACTTATAACGTGTGCCCGGGTGCACCACCCGGGGGTGGTCGGGGGGACGCGGAGACGAGAGTGAGAGAGTTGGAGATACGAAATGGGGAGAGTTTACGGTGGGAGCAGGAGTAAGGCGAGGCAGAGAGGGGGGCGCGCGGAGCGCGGGTGGCCGGGGGTGTTTTAAGTTGGCAGGGGGATGGAGGGTGGGACGCCGTGCATGGTGCGTGGGGCTCGCTTAGGCTGAGAGCGTTACAAAGGTTGTAAGTGAGCCCTTCGTATCATACGGATGCTCGCCCCAACTAATCCGGCCCTTACGGTGGCGGGCTCTTTGACTTCAGAAATCAACAATCCGCAGGACACTCTGCCGGTTCTCAATTCGACCTTTTCTTCTTATCTTTTCCTTCTGCTTTTTCTTCTTTTTAATTGTCCCTTGTTATTTAAAATTCCATGTCGCTCTGTGTGTCGCGTGTCCGAAATATAACGCTTATGTTCAATAACTTAATTAGCTCGCCTTAACCCGCAAAGCCCTCGGTAAGTTGACCTCATTGCCGGCGGCCCACGGAGTTCATTAATGAAGGAACACCCGTCCCCATCGAGCCCAGACAGATAGTCATCTCCAGATTTGGATTCCGAATTTCAAAGATCCAGTTGACCCACATCAGATTTGTGTCCCCGCTATCTCACCCAGCCCCCTGGACCTTCCTTTTCCGCCTGCTCCTCTTCCTCCTCCACCATTACCATTACCTCCTCTTACCACTGTGGCCACCCGAAGTTTCTGTCTCCTGGAGAGGCACTTCTCGGTGGCCCTCTTCCGCCGCCTCGCCTCATTTATGCTCTATGCAGCAAAGTATTCTCCGCCACCTCTGACCTCCTGTCGCTCACAGTTGTGTGGTGGCGAATGGCGAATGTGGCGGGTGCAACGACAACGACAACGACACATGCAGGTCAGAAAGCCCCTCCCAACTTCCATGTCTCACATCTAGCGTCTTGGTCCCGCAAACCTCCAACTTTTAACTGTCAACTCCCAACTGCAAGACGACTGAAACTGGCAGCCCCAGCCATGCAAGTGCATCAGACGCAACGCATGCGACCAAGCCAAAGGCTATTCGGTCAACAAACAACCGCAACCGTAATACGGCAACCATAACAGCAACCATCAACTGCTCGGAACAAGATGGATGGCCCCTGGGCGCCATCTATACACATCTCTCTCTCTCCCACTCTTCCTCCCTTTCCTTTGTCTATATATCGCTCAGTTTTCCTTTATACCTCTTTTCCTCTCAATTAGCGCCCTGGCGTCTGTTGCTGAGGGCAACACGAGCACGTCGTAGATCATATGCACAGCGACTGGCACTGTCCGACAACACCGCATACGCCTCCGCCACCATTGGAAACACTGTGTTGGCCGCAACCACCACTGCCGCCCGCATTGGCGACGGCAACGCCGCCGGCGTCCCCGCCGCTGGCATCGCCACCCCGGCCGCTGGCGCCACAGGAGACCATGTATAACCTGTACCACCCTGATTTGAGACTGTCAGCTTCGCCTCATGATTTCCACTTGACCCCTAATGCCTGGCCATGGTGCTCTTGTGTCGTTGCGGATATGGGCTGACCACTGCCTATCTATGTTGCTAAAAGCCTGACGGGAAGCTTGTACTCGGGCACGACCGCAACCCCCTCTCCTAGGTGCACAAACACGATGGCAGCACTCGGCGTCACGCCACCATCAGTCCAGGTGGCAGCAGCTTACCATTGGCAGCGTACTTGCTATGCTTGTACTTGCGTTGCTGTATTTCGATAGCGGGTCGTCTAGTCGCCGAACACATTCATCAGTCACCCTTACCGAACCTCTAAACGTATTCCTGTTGTTTAGGCATCAAAGGGAGGACCCTTGTTTGAAGAGTATGCCAGGCGCAAACGTGCTTCACCGCACTTGATGCGGTACCAAGCTTTGTTTCTGTGTGCTGGTGTGTTTTAACAGGCGTTTGTAAATGTGTTTGGATGGCACCAGATCCAGGCCGTCTTACTGGAATGCCCAGCCTATAATGATATTTGTGCGGAAAAGGGATTCCATCGTCAACAGAGTATGTTGGAGGCCATAAAATGGGTCTGCCGAGGATGCTGGAACGTATCCCTTTCTGCTACCTCTACGGAGGAGGAAGCAGTCAACCACCTTCGCTGCCTCAAAGGCTCCAAGCTTCGAGGTCTCAGGTTATGGTTCTCAACACACCAACGCAGAGTAAAAGAAGCTGTTAGTCGCCACCGGAGGCAGCAACGGCTCAGAGTTACAGTACCGTGCTTTGATTTACGTGGAAGCCGCCGCAATTTCCCCCATCCCATCGGAACGGCCACGAATGGATTTCGCCCCCAAGCACAAGGATGCCCACCCTCTTTCCTCCCTCATACACTAGTTGCTGCCACCGCCGCCGCTTGCCGCGGTAGCACCAACCCCGGCCACAATCCCCGCTCCTTCGCTACAGGCTTGGGATGTGGACCGCAGCCAGCTCTGCATGACCCGCGGGTCGTTTGACACGATACTGCCCACACCCGCGCGAGCAGCCCGCGCCGCGTCCTCCTTCGAGTCCACCACCCACGTCACCACGGGCCGTCTAGCCGTCGCCGCCGCCGCCACCTCCGCCAGCGCGGCATCCGGGTGCTTGATGCTCGGCCCAAAGATGTCGTACGCATCGGCATCGCTAGCCTGCAGCTCCAGCTGTACTGGCACCCGGGTGCCGTTGGCTAGGCGCCTGGCAGTCAGGTGGAAAACGACACAGATAGGGATGAATGAATGGGCGGGGATGTATGAAATTGGACGTGATTGGGTTTGGAACGTCGTTCCATGCGCGCGGCGGGTGCAGGTGCGCGGCAGGACGTGTTGAGTGACGAATGAGGGCAGGCAGGGGGGGTTAAGGGTAGACGGTCGGAGATAAATGCGCCCATATACCGATGCAGAAGATAAGGCAGGGAAGTTACTGCCCGGACACACAGTCTCACCTACCCGGCTTGCCAACTAGTGCTTTGCAGACCCACATAGATACACATGCGGACATAGCTCGCTGAGGTAAAGTTAGTCGTGTACCACCGTGACATCGGCATTGCCCTCGCGGCGGCTCCGGAGATAATTAAACACACACACACACACACACACACAGATGCAGAGGTACACACATGGGTACACACAACCCCCTTAGTCCCAAGCACACGCCCAGCCCTGACCCCATCTGCAGCTGTCCCACCGGGTATCTGGAAGACCCAGTACTCGCAGCAGCCCCGAGCCCAGCAGCTGTAGGTGCTTCCCCACGGCCTCCACCTCAACATAGCTTTGATCGCCAGCTGCTGTTGCTGCTCCTCCTGCTGCTGCTGTTGATCCCTCCTGCCGTCCCACTGAAGAGGAAGAGGACAGCGATAAGGGCTCCAGCCTCGGAAGCCACAGACCCACATGTCCCTGAATACCAAGTGCGCGGGTGAGGTTGTGCAGCAGCTCCGCAAAATCGGGCCTTAATGCGGAGTCCTTGAGCTCCAGCAGCAGCAGCGGAGTCCCATCGCTACTGCTACTGCCACGATCATTGTCATCGCGATCACTATCTTTATTGACGGAGTCTGAGCCGCTGCCGCCGCCGCTGCCGCTGCCGCCGCCGCTGGCGTCTTGGCCGCCACTGCTGCTGCGACTACTGCTCCTGGTGTCCTGACCCTCGGCGGCCTGTCCACCGCCTTTATCCTGCAGCACCAGCAGCCTCCGGCTCTGGCCTGATTCCTGCTGTTGTTCCTGCTGCTGCTTCCCTTCCGCCGACTGAACG